GCCTCCTGCCTCAGCCTCCAGAATGCTGGGCTTGTCTGCACAGTTGACTAGGAAAGTTTCGGGAGAGAAAGTTACAGCAAAATAGGAAATACCAACCATCCTTGCTGAATATTGCCTCTAAGACATCATTATTGCTCAGATATCTTCTTTTACCAGTGATTTTTGTCTCAGTTCATTCAGGCTGCTGCAACAAAAAATACTCTACAGTGGGTGGCTTAAACAACAAACATTTCTTTGGTAGAGTTGTAGAGGCTGGGAGGTCCAAGGTCAGCACACTACCAGATTCAGTGTGTGGTGAGGACCCTTTCTTCCTGGTTCACAGCAGGCTGTTTTCTCTGTGTCCTCACATAGCTGGATGCAAAGAGCACTCTTGGGTCTCTTTTATAATGACAATAATCCCATTCATAAGGGATCCACCCTTAAGAGGGGTCTATCATCTCCCCAAGGCTCCACTTTCTAACAGCACCATACTGGGGGGTTAGGATGTCAACATAAGGACACCTGCATTCAGTCTATAGATTATTTCTTCTATGCTCTAAAATATGCTTCCTGTTACAGAACTTAGCCAACTGAGTAGAAGGCTGGGTATTTTCATGCCTATTACATGCGGCTTATATGGGGAAATAGGAGCCCAATATCCTAATTGTACATTGCTTCAAATCTTTTAAAACAGGCAAGAATAAAAAAATAATTCCATAAAACAAGCTTGATTGAATTTTTTTTTAGGAATTCTCTCATTTCAAAAGATCAACCCAGCTTTTCATTTATGCTTTCTACATTAGATTTTAAATTGAAGTTCCATGGGCCAGAGATTTAGCTCAGTGGTTTCGTCGCCTGCTGCACAAGTGCAAGGACCTGAGTTCGATCCCCGGTACCAAAAAACAAAAATTATAAATAAATTAAAAAAAAATAAATTGAAGTTCCCACACATACCTGTTTCTGTGCTGACATGTGACTTTTAAATGGTGACATCTGAATTCTCACTTAAATTCTGATTCTCAGAGGATCAGAGCACTATCAGATTACCACAATAAGATTCATTCTGATTATGAATAATGCCTTCAGTGTGCAACACGTGAAGTCAAGTTGTAAAAGCCACAATGTGCTGGTCCTTGGTAATACACTCATGTTTTTGAAGCCAGATTCAGATTATCATGGCTTCTTTTCTTCAGGTATAGAAATTCTTCTTATGTCCCCAGTGTGGCAAGAATTTGAATTTATAGCCATCCATGTTGGCTGTTCAAGTAGTAACCTTATCCTTCAATGATCTTGAAAAAGAGAAATATGCATTCTTGTACTTTATTTTCTTTATGCCTGCAAGTACAATATATGAAGTTGATTGATTGCTTTTCTCTTGCTGAAAGGGTTCCATTAAAATTTTACCTCAAAAGTTCATGTAATCACATTTTCTGTAATATTTCTTCTGTGGTGAAATTTAGTACTTTCCTCTTTCTTATACATACCCTTATTTTGGTGTAACAAGGTAGAATAGGTCTATGTACAAAATTTTGGAACATCATTTCTCAAATGCTAAATTTCTAATACTAAAATATAGCTATGTATCTTTATAGCAGATAAAAGACATCAGCGGTATACTTTTACATAATTTCTGCTGTTGTAGTTTACCTTCAAATGACATTTGGCCTTTACAGAGATATTAAATAAGCTCATTTTCAACTTGTCACTAACAAAGACACAACTGGAGCAATTCAAGCAATTTCCAGAGCAATCCAAGGTATCTTGTAGGGGAACAAGGTCCCCAACTTTAACAAAAATAACTATTCTATATTACACTACTTTTCTTTCTAGGCTATGTATACTTACATTATTTATTATATTCACATCTTCTCATCATATATAAGACTTTTTTATTACATTCTATAAATTGGGCAATTACTACAGTATTTATTGTATAATTCTTTATAGCCTTTCTGGCAACTATAGTCTCTCAGAGTAAATGGTTTAAGAACTTTGACTTTAGAACTTTTTTTCTTCAGGTTTCATATTTCTCCTATTCTTCAGAGTCTCATCCGCTTTTTAATAATTGGCTGTTTGAACTGATTGAATTATAGAACTTTCCAAAAGTTATTTGCGTCTCACAAGACTGACACAGCACCTTCCTTGTGTCCTGAAAGTATCTTGTCTCTCTGTAATCACAATTTTACCTTGACTTGAGCTCAGTATCTAAAAGTTTCTAAATGGTTTAGAACTCATGGGTCAAACTCTATATACTTTCCCTATTGTTAAGACTTGAGAATAAACTTAAAATTAATTTCTTTTATTTTAGCTGGTCCTGAGGGTTGTGTTAATAATTGTGATACAGTCTGGTTGTATGGAGCAAGCAGAATGTGTAGTTTAGGAACTCTAACTTTAGAACCAGACTTCTTGGGTTCAAATTCTTGCTTTAACAATATTCTGCCTGTGTGATCTTGGGCAAGTTACTGAACATTTCTGCAACTTATATTCTTCATGTATAACACAGGATAATATTATTATGCGTGGAATTGTGCCCCTGCCCATTTGTATGTTGAAGTACTAACCCCTAATCCCTTAGAATATGACCTTTCTTGGAAACAGGGTAGTTGCAAATGTAATTTTTTATGATGAGATCATACTGGAGGATGGTAGGTCTCTACTGCAATAAGTGAATTCTTGGTCCATTTTCTGCTGCTCTAACAGAAATCCACAGACTGAGTAAATTATAAGCAATACTGTCCTTTAGCTTGTAGTTCTGAAGGCTAGGAAGTCCAAGAGCATGGCACCATGCTGTGAGGTCCTTCACATTGTATCATAACACGGTAGCAGTTGAGGGACTGGAGACAGCAAGTGAGTGTGCTGTATAGAGAAGGGAAAATCATGCAGAAATCATCAGTTTTTTTAAGACACTACTCCAGAATGACTAGTCCACTCCCACAATAATGGCATTAGTCCATTCATGAGGTTAGACCCCTCAGATCCAATGATCTTTTAAATGTCTTACTTCTTGGTGCTGTTACTATGGCAATTAAATTCCAATGTGAGTTTTGGAGAAGACATTCAAACCGTAGCGAGTGATGTCCTCCTAAGAAGGAGAAATTTGGCTACAGACCCCTTAAAAACACCATGAGAAGAAGATAATGGTGCTGTCTAAGCCAATGAATCCCACAGATTGCTGCAATCCATGAGAAGTTAGGTGAGGGGCATGGAACGGATTCTCCCTCACAGCACTTGGAAGGAACCCACTCTGCTGACCTCTGGACTTGGACTTCCAGCCTCCAGAATTGGGAGACAATAAGCATCTAATGGATAAGCCATTCCATCTATGTTGCTTTGTTATAGCAGCCTGAGCATCTAATGTAAATAATACTTACCAAATGTAAGGATTGAATTTATCAATGCTTAAAATAGTGTCTTACATAGACCGGGCATTACTACTGCTAGTGCTAGCTACATGTTACATGCTTTCCTGTGTGTCCAGCTTTACATTAGTTACATATATACAGTGTATGATTTCAGAGCCCAGCAATCCCTGTATGCAGTGCTTATAAAATATAAATTCCTTCACTTTTTCTTAAGTCCTTGTTCCAAGTTAAAATAAAAACAGTACTGACTATATAGTCACAGCGATGTTAGCTATTCGCTAAATATTCCTACATGAGAGGCTTTGAAGTAGATGTTTTGTATACATTTTCATCACCCTCTTCCCCACTGCCATGTGCCCTGCTGACATTTGCAGTCCTCTCTCTGATTTTTGTGTCATGGGCTGTGTCTTCACCTCAAGTCTCATCACTGTCTTTCCCACCCCCAGCACCTCTTTCCTCTCCTCTGGGATCAGAACCTGCTTTCCCTGATCATGCTGGAGTGAGGATGATCCCATGAGGCTATATGGAGGCCTTTTTCCTTTGCTTTGATTACACATTGCTGCATTAGAGATCATCTCAACATGTAGTGGCTCAAAGCACCAATGATTATTTTATTCTCCTGATTTCTATGGGTCAGAAATTCAGGGGGGCTGGACTAGGCAGTTCTGGCTCAGAGTCTGTCAATGCAGTTGCAGTCAGAGGGTGACAGCCCTTGGAACACCTATGGGCTGGCCAGTCATTTTTGATTTTTCTTGAAATCTCAAGGCTTCTCCTTGTGGTCTCTCTGTGTGGGTTGGTTTGGGCTTCCTCCTATTGTGGCTGCCTCAGGACAGTTGGATTTCTCTTATGATGACCCTGGGGTAAGAATCCCTGAGATATAGGAGGAAAATAAAAAAAGACACTGTCCCTGAGATCCCTGATCTTGCAGTCTAGAATTAAAAGAAGAACTTTAACTGCCAAATGTAAAGTTGGGCTGAACTCTCAGACGTACATCTTTTTGCAAAGTCGGGGCTATTCCTGTGGAAATTTTGCTGGTAAGGTTTTAAAACTATGTAATGTTGGCTATATTTGAAAAGGACGTTAGAGCTTCTTTGGGAAAATAAAAAATGAGCACTATATGCGTCACATTTTTAGATTCTCTAGTGTTGGAATAGCTCCAACAATTCAAAAGAGGGATTAGACAATGATTAGATAAAAGATGTTCCTAATAAGAAATATCTGGAAATCAATTTTGGAGATTTTTTTCTTTTTACTGTATGTTGATATTACACTATTGTGAGTGCCCAAATTCCTCTTCCCTGGTAATGCAATGCAACAGAATACGTATCTTACCATATTTGCCTTTTTTCCTCATAGTAATAATTATCACTCATACTTTGAAGGCCTCACATGTTCCCAAACCAATCTTAAATCTGCAACATGAACTTTCATTTGTTCACTTGATGAAAGGATTTACAATCCTGTTTGGAGAGATATGTGCACATGTCCTCAAAACTTGGTAAAAAATGCCACTGTGTGTGTCACCAAGGTAGGCTGGTTCATCTAGACTGGCTCCTTATGTCAAGGAAACCCCATTCTACTGCAGACAAAGCTCCAAGTCGGACTGGTAGATCAGAAGAGAATGATCAACCTTAAGCACCATGTTCAACTGCTTTGTAGGTCCTTCATTCCTTCACCGATAGCATCTTTGAGGAGTGGATGAAGAGATACAAGCCTGCTGCAGATGCCTGGCCTCAGGAGTTGGCACCCATAGGCCACAATCGGATGTATAACATGGTCCCTTTCTTCCCTCCTGTGACTAATGAGGAGCTCTTCCTAACCGCAGACCAACTTGGCTACAGTTACGCTATTGATCTGCCAGGTAACTAATGCAGCTGCTAAGTGGATGATTCACTCAACTGTTAAAGAGGCTTACTTTCTTTCTGTTAAATGTAAACCAAGGGCTTTAATTGAAGCATTCAGGTCTAGTTAAGTTCTTTGACTATTTTCTGGCATATAAGTATTTAACAAGACGAGCCATTAAACTGCCAATTAAACATCAGAAAGGGACTAGTTGGCAGACTGTTGCTTTAGATAACTGAAAGTTATTAAGAGACCCTATAACACAAAGGAGCTATCTACTCCTACACCTGATTTGATAAGTGTCTGAATTTATCAGAGTAATCAAAAAGGGACCTATCATTTTTTGAAATATGTACTCGATAAAGTCAAAATGAAGCAGCCACAGAACTTAGAGATTATTACCTGGATGCTGGGGTTATGGTGAGACAAGCATGGAATTTGCCTTGAGCACGAAATTCAAGGGGAGGCCAAAATAAAATCATCAGTAATTGTGGTAGATAGTCAAAATTAATGCAAACATTTTTTGATGAATAATACATCAGCATGATTTTGAGTACAGACAGACTCTTGCTTGTTTGATTTGCACACTTATGTTGCTTCAGAAGAAGACCTGTGGCTTTCAGGACGCTCGTATCTTATTGTCCACAGGTATGGGCCCACGTGGGCCATGGGTTTTATATTATATTTTTAAGTGAATGTTTACTAAGTCATGTTTTTAATTGTAGATCTTTTGTTAAATCTAACACTTGGTTCAAAATAAGGGGGGTGCTATTTTGATCAGTGTATATAAAGGACACATGTTTTTCCTTCTTACCCTGGACCCAATATACATTATATGCTATTTATAGAATCTTAGGGCAGTTTGAAAAAGGAAAGATAAAGCAACAAAAAGCATCTTAATTTGTGGAGAAGTGGAAAAAGGCACAGCCAGTATGCTGGTGGCTTTTCTTTCCCTTCTTTATTTAATCTTTCTTAAATCTTAGTCTACAAAATGATCAAGATGATTTTAGCTTCTTCCATCTTTCTCCAATCTCAGAATGTTTCAAGGATTGTTTTTCCTTCTAACTTTTACTTCTTATTATTCTCACTGATTTGAAATTTCCATCCGTTGGAAGTCACTGAGGATATCTCTTTTAAACTTCTCTCTTTTGCTCTGGGATTAGGCCTAATGATAATATTATTATTATTACAATATTATTATTATATTATTATTATAATATTATTATTACAATAATAATTTAGAATATGCATCCTATCCTGCTTCTCTGTCCTCTGGTAGCAATCACCAGGGTAAGCTGAGTCCAAGATACAGCTATAATGTATGAGCTCATCAGAAGATACAAATTGACGTTGACTTGTTAGTTTGACAAGGAAACTTACAATCCTTCCTGGAGAGTTATAACTATAAATAGTAGGGGAGGAAATTTGTTTCTCTGCCTTTTAGATCCTCAGCAAATTAGACTGATAACAGAAAGACTAACAGGTAAAAGGCTGACAAATTTAATTTCATGCTAATTTTTGTGATATTTTTATGTGTAATTTTTACGCAAAGTTTTCAAAGAGGCTGATAGGGCTAAGAACTTCTATACCATCTCAAACAAAGAACAAGAAATTGTGGAGATGTGACAAGACAAAGAAGCAAAGGTCTGAGTTTTTAAATGACAATGAAATCCATGGAAAATCTTACAAGATAAGGGCTGTTTTAGCAAAGCTTGTGCAGCTCCTTACGGTTTTAAGTTAATCTTCTGTATTGCTGTAAAATTTCCCCAAGAGAGGAAATTTATAGTAGTCCTTATTTCTCAGGGTTGCCGCTTTCAGTCAGATAAAAGAAGTTCTGGGAAGGCTTCTTGCTGTATCTGGTGAATCTTACTGCCTTCAGCCCAGAATATCTTGTGATCAAAAGGCAGCTTCAGGGAGGCCCATTCTGATCTTCAAGCCGAGAGTAGGAGGGGCGAGTGACTTCGGAAAGGCTTATTGGAGATGGGTCTTGACCTGAACTGGAAGAAGTCGGTAGATGGCAGGTAGGGGTCAGGGTGTTTTAGACTGAAGACAGTGGAAAATGGGACAGGGAATGACACAGGTGGTCTAGACTAAGGGCTGCGAGAGAAAAGCATGCTGGGGTTCAGAAAAGGATTCTCCGAAGTGTGACGTGTTGGCGTGTGGAATGCTCTGAGCTGGAGAAGAACTAAGTTCTCGTGGACCTTCTGCTCCCTCTCTGCCATCTCTCACCCCTCTTTCCCTTGCAAAGTGCAGGAAGGGGCTTTCTCTGAAGTTCCCCATTCTACCCAAAGGCAGATCCTCCAGGGGCTTCACTGGCAGAGGGAAAGGCAAGTTGATGCCACATTCAGAGCCCAGGCAAACTTCGTCTCAGACAATCCTCTCCTCTTCTTTCTTATTAACCTCCTCTGAAAGTCATTTGCTGTTTCTCTAAAACTGCCCACAGTACCTGTCCCCTTTGTCCATAAAGAAGGTATTTAAGTGTCAACCAGATGGCCATCTTTGAGTGTCATACTTTGTATGACTCCCATGCACTTTTTTTTCTTTCTTAAATTCTTTTATTGGTATATTTTAGGTATACAATACTTTTACATTTATCATTGGGTGCTTGTACCTGAACATGATGTATCTTGGTTCTTATTTTTTCCCCATTACCTGTGCGCCCTTCACCCCCTCCACCCTTCCCTATTTACATAGATTTCATTTCCTTTTTTTTTTCTTTTCCCATAATTCTTCCTTTCCCCTTCCCCTCCCACCACCCCTACCCCTTTGGACCTTTTCTTCCTATTTCAAATTATCAATTATTCATTTTAATCAGTTTAACCCTTATTTACACTTTCAGTTTCTCACACTAGAGAAACTATTCAGTATTTACACATGTGTGTCCTATTTATTTCACTTAAGAGTATGGCCTCAGTATGAATCGATTTAGCTATAAATGTCTCTAGTTTCTCATTCTTTATGGCTGAATAGTACTCAATTTTATTAAAAAACCCACATCTTCTTTATCCAGTTTCCAGTTGATGGGCACTTTGGCTGTTTCCAAGCTTTAGCTATTACAAACTGTGCCGCTATAAACATGGGTGCACATATATCACTGTGGTATGATTCTTTTAATTCTTTTGGGAAGATACCCAGTAGGGGAATAGCTGCATCAAATGGGACTGCTAGCCCTAGTTCTCTGAGGTATCTCCATACTGATTTCCACAGTGGTTGCACCAGTCTGCACTCCCACCAACAATGGAGAAGGGTTCCTTTCTCCCCACACCCCTGCCAGCATTTGTTATTGGTTGATTTCTTGATAGCAGCCCTTCTTTCTGGGGTGAGGTGGAATCTCACTGTTGTTTTCATCTGCATCTCTCGAATGACCAGTGATGTTAAACATTTTTTCATATATTTATTTGCTGCTTTTACTTCTTTGTCTGAGAGATGTCTTTCATTTCAGATGCCCATTTTTGAATTGGGTCTTTGAATTTGAGGGGTCTGATTTTTTTCAGTTCTTTATATTCTAAATTGTAGTCCTTTATCTAAGGTACAGCTGCTGAAATTTTTTTCCCACATTGTAGGTTGTCTCTTAGCTCTGTTGGTGGTTTCTCTTGCAGTGCTGAAGCTTTTTAATAAGATGAGATCCCAGTAGTTGATTCTTTGTGCTGGTTCCTGTGCTACTGAGGATTTGTTCATAAAGTCTTTTCCTATGACCATGTCTTCAAGAGTTCTACCTAACTTATCTTCCAGCAAGTTTAGTGTTTCTGTCTTAATATTTAGATCTGTAATCCACTTCGATCTTAGCTTAGTGTCTCATGCACTTTTAAGTTAATACATTTTTATGTCTTTTCTCTGGTAAACTGATTTGTTTTGTAGGCTGAAATGATCAAATCTTTAGAGTGGGGAAAAAAAGCTCCTTTTGCTTTTATACCTGGTTGTAGAGGAAGGCTGCGCAGAGCATTACTGTGGATTAAGCCTCATCTGTGAGAGGGTCTGACTGCAGAGAGCCTGAAGAAAGGAAGGTATCGAGTTGGAGGCCATGTCACACTGGCAAGTTGGCGGCTATCAGGAAAGCAGAGAAAAGCCAGTGTCGGCAAGGGCATGAAGGAGCTGGAACCCTGTGCACTGCTGAGGGAAGATGAAAGGGCACAGCACCTATGGAAATATTACAAGGGTTCCTCAGAAAATGAAATGTAGAATTATCATGTAATCTGGCAATTCTACTTCTTGGTCCGTACCCAGGATTGAAAGTAGGGTCTTGAAGAGATATTTGCACACTTGTGTTCATAACAGCATTATTTATAGTAGCCAAAGATAGAAGCCACCCAAGTATACATCAGTACTTGGATGAATAAACAAAACTATATATATATGCTATGGGTAAATGTGACATATATAATATTCAGTCTTACAAAGGAAGAAAATTCTGATACACGCTGCAAAAAATATAAACCCTGAGGACATTTAGCCAGTGAAATAAGCTAGACATGCTGGGTGTGGTGGTGCACGTCTGTGGAATCACAGCACTTGGGAGACTGAGACAGGAGGATCACTGTGAGTCTGAGGCCAACCTGGGCTGCGTAGTGAAACCTTGCCTCAAAAAACAAAAACAAAAACAAACAAAAACTAGACATAATAGGACAACTATTATATGATTCCAGTTGTATGAGAATATAAAATAGTCAAATTTATGAAACAAAAGGATTGTTATCAAGGCTTGAGTAGGGGAGGATGAGGGGTTACCATTTAGTGGGTAAAATATTTCAGTTTTTCAAGGTGAAATGGTGCTGTGGATGGATGGAAGTGGTGGTCACACAACAATGGGAATGCTACTGAACCGTGTAAAAAGTGGTTAAGCTGGTAAAATTTATGTTACAGATATATTGCCACAATTAAAAAAACATTAAAAATAGGCAGAGGATTTGGATAATAATAAAAAGCAATTATTTTTGGTGCCTTCACAAAGAAATGGTAGAATAAAAATTATGTTTTGAGAAGATGAAGCTAGCAACAGGTGCTGCCGTGTTGTAACAGGAGGAGGCGCATTAAAATCCTCCAGGAGGACTCAAGTTGGGATAGTCATGGCCCCCAGTGGGATTGAAGGAACGGGATTAGAAAGATAGTTTTACACTTAGATACATGTAGGGTGTAGATCCAGAAGCCAATTCAGAAGGTCCAAAATTTTAAAATAACTTTCCAAAGAAAAGTTACTTTTAAAAGAAATTACAGGGAGGCATAAATATACTAAATATGCAACCCATTAATCTCATGGAAGAGAGTTTATAAAGTATATAAGCTGAAGATTGGGTTTATCACATGGACAATTCAGATTTTCTCAAAACTATTTAAATGAGTACAGATCTATCTGCGTCTGCTATTGAACATCTCCTGTTATAAGAACCAATCTGATTTTTCTCTTCCATTTATCACCTATAAAAATGGTGGAGAGAGCAGCAGAATTTCCCACCTGAGAGCTGCATATTTAGCAATTCCCCAGATACCCTTTTAGTATGCACTTCTACAAATGAGTTCCTGACTTTAGAAAGTAGCCATGTACTTCCTTGGAGGGTTTATTTTGCATATAATCACTTGTTTTAACAAATATTTAAAATGCAGTATGCTGTGTTTCAATAATGAGATGCCATTTCCAACTTCCTGGCAAAAATGATTGTGGATATGATAAATAGTTGGTGAGGAAAGAGAAAATAAATCATATTCTAGCAAGACAGCTTGGCTTTTTCAACAAAAGTGGGTGTGCAAAGCAAGTAAGGTTATTCTTTCCTTTTGTAAGAGTATTCAGCTGTTAAAAACCCTTCTCTTTTTCTTCAGTTTCAGTTGAAGAAACTCCAAGTTGGATCACAACACTCTCAGTGGTGATGGGAATACTTGTGGCTTTGGTTGGTCTTTTCATGCTGCTGATTTTCCTTCAGTACAGAAGGCTCCGAAAAGGATACACACCCCTCATGGAGACTCATTTAAGCAACAAGAGATACACAAAAGAAGCCGAGAGAGTTCAGGCCTAGAGACGAGCCAGCCAAACTGAGTTCTGACCTGGAGAATAACTAACCTATCCTACGTTTCTTCCTTTAGATCTTCGGTATAGGTTCTTTTATTGAAACGATGATCCAAACACAGAAGGTGCTTAGCTGTTGTTTCTGGTTTGCTTGTTTAACAAACTCAAACTAAAAGTGTTTGGGGCTACCTCTAACATCACATTAAGGGACATTAAGTTTGCAGTATCTGATAAGAATTTCCCATGGTGATGAAACCTTTCACTGTTCTGAAGGCAAAAAAAAAGAAAGGAAGGAAGAGAGAGAGAGAGAGAGAGAGAGAGAGAGAGAGAGAGAGAGAAAAGAAGGAAGGAAGGAAGGAAGGAATCAGAAATTGAATTCTTTAAGTTTGCGAATCAGTGTAACTGGAGACCTGGAAGACTCTGGTTCAGTCTTTCTGAGCCCAAACATCTGTGTTTTTGATGGTGTGCAGATGGTGCATGTCTATTAGTCAGCTTTTCACTAGTATATTGAAATACTTTAATCTGGCTAATTGTATAAGTAAAAGGGGTTGTTACCAGCTCACAATTCTGTAGGTGTAAGGTCTAAGACTGTAAGTGGCAGTGGCCCTGTTGGCAGAGTCCCAAGGTGGTCAAAGCCTTGCACAGGAAGAGGCAGGGGTGCAAGTGTGTATGTGTGTCTGTCTGGCCTCACTCCCTTTTCTTAAAAATGCACTGAGATTCAAGATTCAATCGTGGAGTCTCCACCCTGATGACCTTATCTAATTCCAGTCGCTTTCTGAGAGCCCCACTTCCAAATGCCATAGTTTCATTGAGCTTCTACCCTCTTAATACTTCACAACAGAGGCTAAATTTCAACAGGTTATGCCTTGGGGGACAGACCACATGCAAACTGTAGCAGGGTGGCAGGCACTAGATGAATCTCCACATCCTGTGGATAGCTCTATGCAATGGTTTTCTGCCCTCCTCACCTTCCTTGGGCTTCTTTTTCTTTCTTTCTCTGTCTTTTCCTCTCCAGCCTTGAAGATTAAAATAGGGCTTATTTTCCATATAAGATAAACCAAGAATAAATGAAGAATCAATATAGTTCTCTTTGTACATTAGGGTTTACAGAATTTATTTAAAATTTGCAGGTTTTTTGAGACAGGGTCTCACTAGGTAACCCAGGCTGGCCTCCAACTCATGGTGATCCCCTGCCTAGAGCCCTTCTCTCCCCGCTAATGCTGGGATTACAGGTGTGAGCCACTGAACCTGGCTAAAATTTGCAGTTTTAAAGAGCAGGATTATTAGAAGAGTCAATAACTGGATAAACATTGGTCCTATAGAGATAATAAATAAGGAAATAAAATTATAAAGCTTTCTAGTTAATTAATATACAGTCTCAAACCTATTAAGTGTGGAATTACTCTTTCCAGGAAAAGCTGACCAAAGAAGGCTGCCGAGCCTACAGTCCTGAACACGAGACATTTGGATTGGAGTCTCATTACTCTAAGCCCCATTTGGCTGACCCTGTAGCAGTTCCTTTACTACATAGTCTCAGATGAAAAATTACTCACATAGAATGCATTTGACTTTTTTTGAAGGAGTTGGCTGCAGATATTCATTAAAGCTGCCCCTTACTGATTGTTACTTATGGGTGAGATTCAATGATGTCTTACTCAACAGCAAACCACCTGTTAAAAATGCAACAATTTGAAATTAAATTGTTATGTTTTGTTAAATACTTATCAGATTATGAGAAATAAGAATGAGGTCATCTTTACTACAGTGTTCAGACTTATCATGATGGTCCCCACTTCTGAGAAATTAACGGTTATTGAGATTTCAAGGCAAATTTCGTCTGCTCCTCTCTGGTGTCTGTGTGTCAGGAGTGAGCCTGAATTTTAGAGGGGGCCTGTGGTAGCTTGTTTGACCTCTCCCTGCAGGAATGGATTGTCTCTAGAATGAGGGTGCAAAGAGGACTCTAGAGCTGCCTTCTCTGTATATGGGGGCCAAGGGGATGCGAGATTCACCAAGACCAGTGGTACCCTTTGCAGTGGGCTGCTGAAGCCAGAGAAATGCACCATGCCCCATTGGAACTGAATTTGAGTCCAGGTCTCATGAAGTCACAGGTGTATCTGAGAGGAGGCTCAGCAATATCAAGCAGGGTCCTTCACGGAGGGAAGCCCTTCCTGGGGGTCTTCAGCCACAGTCACAGGCACAAACCTCAGTTCCTGCTCTGCAGAGTGGCCATGGACTATGCACCAATGGTCATTCATGGCCCTCTCTGGAAGGTTTATGCTCTGAGGTTAAGGCTGTTGGAAACACATTTTTACATCCTGTTTTTAAAACAAAAGATAAATATATTAAAATAAAGATATAATTCTGCATGGTAGGTATGTTCCTGAAAAGTTATGCATAAATCAAGTATATGTTAAAAGCACCAGGAGAAATCACCTTTTTATAGGTGAACTATTATAAATAATTCTATAAGGCAAATAATCACATCTAGCTTATCTTTCCAGTATTGAATATCAGAATTTTCATGCATCCTATCCTCATAAGATCTGGAGAAAGCAAGTTCTATCTGAAGTAGAGATAAATAATCATCATTTATACTTAGCTGCTTTTATCTGTAGTGTGTGCAACTTTTTACAAATATTATGTTTTATAATATCTTCCTAAAGAAACAATTTCCTAATATCATAGTTCATTTAAGAGGAATAAAAATTTCTAGCATTTTCTAACCTTATAATAAATCAATAAAGAATGCCTTTTAACAACTCGAAAGGTAGGATAAGCTTGCAGAGTAGAAAGTTGGTATTTACTTACATTGACTATTATGCAAATAAAGTCACCAAATGTCACTGAACATTGCAGGACTATACTTTCTCAAGAATGGGGGAAAAAATTCAACCTTGAAAAAAATGAACAGATTATTTTTAGGATTCTATCTTTGTATTAGAAAAGCTATGTATATGAAGTATAATTTCAATAGAAATGCTTTTATGGGGTTGACATTCAGAAGTGAAATGAAATTGAGTAACATCTTTCCTTTCCTTGAATTGTAACTTTGAGTCTCCTCTAAGTCTTTACTATTAATTTATATCTTGCTTACGATTTAACATTATTAATTATAATACTTCTAGTGAATAATCATAACTTCACATTAACAAGTAGCAGAAAACTTATTAAAAAGGAAAATAAAAATTAATGTTGTTTTGCAGGTTATTGTTCGCCTTTGGGGGATGATTATTTTTTTAGCCTGCACATCAGTCCTCATCTTTTGGGGATGCAACATATGTATATTGGCATATGCAGTATATACATGTAAAATGTGTAACTACTTCACTTCAGAAAATTGGGCCAGGGGTGTAGCTCAGTGGTACCGCACTTGCCTGGCAAGTGCAAGGTCCTGAGTTCTATCCCCAGTACTGGAAAAAGGGGGGGGGGAGAGAGAATCGCTAAGCAACTGCTCATTCCTAGACCTAGAAAAGGAGAGGCCAGTCTGTCCCCAAGTGAAAGTTTCTTTCCCATCATCACACGGTCCAGTGACTGACCCTGGATGTGATGGCCACTTCAGGCCACCATAGCAGTAACTTGTGGCTCCTCCACATGAGCCTAGAGGAGGAAGTTTGAGCAAGTGAGGTGGTGGTTGTGCAGTGTTCGCTTCCACCCCTCTGTGTTGCTCCACAGTCTTTACATTGAAGCACCTTGGCTTATATGGTCAGAAATGTGAGTGATTAATCGATACAGGTGCATAAAAGAGCCAGCCCCCCCCCACCGTGTAGGAAGGTATAACTTTCTTCAATGCAATGACAAAACCCAAGGTTGAAGTATTCCTATTTCTGCAGTTCTTTGCTCATTCTGAGTACTCTATAAATATTTTTTGAATGAATGAGTAAACCAGTCTCAAAGTACAACTTTTCATAGGGCCTCTGGCATGTGTTCTAACATGTGCTGGATAAAACATAGGAGAGTGGAGTCTTATATCCCTGCCATGATATTAACAGCCACTCGTCCTTCAGATTTTGAGTTGTACCTGTAGTAGGTGGAATTTTACTCCAAGAAATCTAGACAAAGAGATTTCAGCTGCATTTTCTTTCTAGCTGCACCTTCTTCCTACCATCAGCAGGCTTTAGTGATAGGAAATAGGATGGAAAATTAAGACTCCCTCCTACCTTCCCTGAAGTCCTCACACATGTTATTTTAGGGCCCCCTAATGCCTTGTATTCCAAAATCCTTGTTTTAGTGAAAAAGTTAGTGGGCAAATTATTTACTCAGGCAAACAGTGCTTCTTTGCTGATGGGCCCAAGCAGCATCACTTTAGGAAACTCTTCAAAGATGATTCAGGACACTTGTTCCTGGGCATCCGTGGGGGATTCGTTCAGGACCTGTCATCCCAGGACACCCAAATCCATGGACATTTATATAAATGGCGTAACTTTCTCATATAATCTATGCCCACCCTGCAGTAATATACGAGTACTTTACATCATCTCTAGGTTACTTATAATGCTTAAACCAAGGTAAGTGCTATGCCAACCATTGTCCACACTGTACCGTTTAGGAAAAATGACAATGGGAAAAAAGTCCGTGCATATACTGTACAGATGAAGTTCTTCCTCCAAATATTTGCATCCTTGCTTAGTTGAAACTACTGAAAGATAATGTGCCCTAGACAGGGCTGACTATATTTTGACTTAGACCACCACAGCAGTTCAAGGTGAAAATGTAATTATGCTTTGGTAGTTGTTTAGTGAAATTTTGAAAATAACACACAAGAAAATGGTGAGCTATAGACTATGTTAGTTTTCTAAAACAAAGCAGAGCAAACAAAAATACAAAGTCCCTTTTCAAGGCCTGTATGTGCTATATATTTTTACCAAGATGACATCTATTTGGTAGAAGCCATTGAGCCACTTGTGCTATTTAACCTATCAATTCAAGTCAGACTTCACAGACAGGATATGCCTGAATTTGGCCCTTCTTTCTCTGCTCCTGCAGCCGTTTATAAACATATGCTAACCCCCCCCCAGGGCCTCCCAAGTGTAATTGTTCTCTGTGTTGTAAATAATGCTAAGTAGAAAAGCCTGAGTTTGGCCTTCTTTATTAAAATAATAGAGATTTCACTGCCAAAGTTACACGCTCTGATTACTCATTTACTCTGTATGTTATTGAGTGTTTCCAAATTTGCAATTAGCACAATGACCATTTTAATTACTAGCAGATGGAATTAGTCTTAAAATAAAGGAAAACCTGCCCTCTTGTGTTAGATTAGAAAACTGCACAATGTGGTAATGTTGCTGCTCTTTTCCTTTATGGTTAATTGACTG